CCTCAAAGAAGGAAAAGAACCATAATTCAACAAAATCTACAGACTTAACCAGACAGAGATAGAAGCCCTAGACAAGTACCTTGAAGAAAACCTCAAGAAGGGATACATCAGACCCTCAACATCACCAGCAGGAAGCCCCATCCTGTTCGTACCTAAAAAGAACAGAAAACTACGATTATATGTCGACTACTGCATGCTAAACGAAATAACGATTAAGAACTGCTACCTACTACTGCTTATCGACAAGATGAGACGACTCCTTCACAGAGCCAACTGGTTTACAGCCCTCAACCTCAAAGGAGCCTATAACCTGATCAGAATGAAGCAAGGAGAAGAATAGAAAACCGCTTTCAGAACCCGAAAAGGACATTTCGAGTACCTCGTCATGCCTTTCAGCCTCACTAACGCCCCTGCAACATTCCAAAATATGATCAACTAAGTCTTACGCAAATATGTCGACATCTGCGTAGTAGTCTATCTCAACGACATCCTCATCTTCTTATTAACACTTAAAAAACATAAGGAGGACGTACACCACATCTTATAAGCCCTCTAAGAAGCTAAGCTATTAGTTAAACCTGAGAAAAGCGAATTCCACACACAGAGGGTGGAATACCTTGGATTCACTATCACCCCTAGAAAAGTCTGTATATCAGAAAACAAAGTCAAAGCTATTAAGGAATAGCTGGTACCTAACAACCTCAAGGAAGTCTAAGGATTTCTAGGTTTCGTTAACTTCTACTGCAAATTTATTAAAGACTATAGTAAGATTAACGCAGCTCTTATAAGCCTCAGCTGCAAAGACACGCCCTTTATATGGGAAGAACCATAACGAACAGCATTCCAGAAGATCAAGGACCTCATCGCCAGCAAGCCCGTCTTAAGCATTCTAGATCTAACAAAACAGTTCGAAGTAGAACCTAATGCATCTGACTATATAATAGGAGCATAATTATCTCAATAAGATTCAGAAGGACGACTACACCTGTGTGCCTTCTTTTCTCGCAAGCTCCACAGACCTGAACTCAACTATCAGGTTCACGATAAGGAACTTATAGCAATCATTGAAGCCTTTAAGGAATAGAGACCTAAGCTCTCAGGAACCACACACGAAGTACTTATGTATTCAGACCATAAGAACCTTTCACACTTCACAACTTCAAAAGTGTTGAATAAACGACAGATTAGATAGTTAGAATTCCTATTAGAATTCAACTTCTGAATCATCCACCGCAAAGGATCAGATAATAGCAGAGCTGACGCTCTCAGCTGACGACCAGACTATAACGTCCTAGTACCTGAAGAAACCCAGGTGATTCTCAAAGGAAACAACAACAGAGACCTAATGCCAGCAACTAAACTCTTAATAATAGCTAGACGATCTAATACTAGCCCGCCTAGCAAACTAGACGATAAAGCAATTATGGAGTTTCACGCTCGCCCTGCATATGGTCACCAAGGAATCATGATAACCTAGAAATGACTACGACAACAATATGGAGAAAAAGTCACCAGAGAACGAGTGGCAAAAGCAATTAAGGATTATGAGGTTTGCCTCAAAAGCAAACCCGCTCAACATCAACCTTATGGTATGCTACAACCCTTGCCTGTGCTGCAAACCGCCTGGCAATCTATATCCCTCGACTTCATCGTTAAATTACCGAAGTCATAAGAACCCCTTATGGGAACACACTTTGACAGCGTTCTTATTATTATGGACCGACTTATGAAGTACGCCTACTTCATTCTATATAAAGAAGCAAGTAACGCTGAAGAATATGCCTATATATTTCTTAAATATATTATTGCTAACCACAGAACGCCCAGAGAGATTATATCAGATAGAGATAAGATCTTCACTTCTAAATTCTAGAAGTTAATCATATCACAACTCAGCATCAAACAATTAATATCCACTGCATTCCACCTGCAGACCGACAGACAAACAGAACGAATCAACTAAATCCTCGAAACATATCTCTGCGCCTACGTCAACTACAACTAAGATAATTAGGTTGTACTGCTACTAATAGCCTAGTTCGCCTACAACAGCGCAGTAGGAGAAAGTACTAAGGAATCCCCCTTCTACCTCAACTATAGATTTAAACCAACCGCCTATAGAGAACCCTAAACAGGCCCAGCTGCAGTAAGAGCTGTCGCCTCAATACGCTAAATCAAGGATATCCAGGAAAACGCACGTAAAGAACTTAAATTCGTACGACAAAGAATAGCAAAATTCAGCAACAAACGAAGGATTGAGGGACTAACCTTAAAAGAGGGAGATAGCGCCTATCTTATACAGCGAAACATCAAAACAAAGCGACCAAACGGCAAACTCAACTATAAAAAACTTAGACCTTTCAAAATTTCACGAGTAATCTCACCAGTTAATTACGAACTAGGACTCCTAGAAACCATGAAGTATCACCTAGTATTCTATGTCTCACTCCTCGAACCAGCACTATGTGGATCACAGACAAATGATATTATTATTGTTGAAGATAACAAACCAGAGTATAAAGTCGAACGAATTATCAACCATCTCAAAGAACCAGAAGGGTATTAATACCTCGTTAAATAGAAAGGATACAGATATAAAGACAACACATAGGAACCAGCCAAAAACATCACTAACGCAGCAGAAGAACTTACGATCTACTGGCAATAACACTAAGAATGAGAAGCCACACTAACACCTGTTGTATTAGTCCAAAAGAGCGCTGGATATAAACAAATTAGGCACCTATATTGCTTCACCAGACCACCTACTAAAACCGATCGACTGCAATAAGGAAAACTATTTATCCGCCTAGGAACACCAAAAGCCAGTTAAGAAACCTTAGGAGAACCTATGTTTAGAGGAATGCCTAAATTAACCACCCTAGTACCTAGAGAAGACTAATCTAACTTATTCTGAGCACCCTACAGCGACAAATCCTCTATCACCTGGGACTCCTAAGCTTCCAGAGCACGTTCCTCAGCCTCCTATTCATCCACGGACTGCATTCCCCGACGAATCAGATCCAAACCACGCTCCTTTAAGAACCTTTTCTGTCTCCAAAGACGAGACAAACAACCTAGAGCGGCAGCAAGCTGAGTCTGCAGCACCTCTAACGCCTCCTCAGCCTCTTCCTCCTCCTGCTCCACTTTCTTTTGCTTATTAAAATAACGATTCACTACTGCAATAAGTTAGCGACACTAGAGAACACTAAGGTGCTAAGGTACTTATAAGCATTCGCTACGTCACTACTATTATAGTTTGAGAAACCCTGCTTCACACACTCGCCATAACGCTTTGAGTTAGCGAGGTCTATTTTGCACACCTGATTATGCTGAAAACAAGGGGAATAAGGTATTACGTTATAACTATAGTGATCAACCAAAGCACTGAGAGCCTTACGGTTGCGCTAAATCTAAGTACGATAAGTCTTATGAGAATCTGATTTCTAAATGCAACCTAACATAGTGTTAGCATCATAAGTAAATCAGGAAGCATAATTAACGAAACCCTAACTGGGGACTAACGACCTACTTATGTTAGGTCTTGAGGATAAGACCTTTAGAGAGGGGACCTGATATTACAACCTGTTATGCATAGATAACAGTTGACCAACCCACTTAGGCGTTAGGCGGCTAGGATAGGATATTTATACTGCAGGATCACAGGAACAATAGGAACTCACTCAGTAACAGAAGAACTATAGTCTAAGTCATATGATGATAAGATAACAATTATATTAGATCAATATAATCCAACACAACTTAGGGGCCAAACGATCATTCTGGATCAGAATGATCCAGATCGACCTAAGGTATAAAGGAACATATTCAGAATTAGACTTATATATAATGACCCTGAGCCTAGCTCATGGTCAGACTTCCATAGCTCTTCAGCAATCAACTTAGTATTCATCCTCACAGATACTCTCAGCTTACCTTCACTGCGAATCACTTATTGAGTCTAAGACTGATCACCTTAGCCTCTGAAGACCCAATCTACTACAGCCTACAAACTACGACCTACGACCACGACCTAGTGTACTGTTAGAACGTATCAATCCCCAGCTTCTGTTAGCAGACCCTACTGTTGGATAGCTGACCGTAACACTTTGATTGCTCCTGTTCAGTAAGTTGACCATTGAAACCTACTAACAGTACAGATAAGAATGTCTTCACGCACCTCTGCCAAGTCACCCACTCCGGGAAGCTCCTCTTCCTCCAAACAGCCTGTCAAGAGCCTAGCTGAAGAACTCGAGGGAGCTCCAATAGCAGTGGACTCGGACGACGAAGTCACTCTCAAGAAGGAAACCTACGACAAGCTTCAAGCCTAAGTCAAGAAAGGATACGACGACATCGCTAAGGTCCAGGCTATATATAACGAAACCGCTAACAAACTCTAAGGCCTCAAACAGATGATCCAGGAGCTTAGCAACAGACCTCAGAGACTTACGGACCTTAAAAACGGAATCGCTCTCCTAGGAGGCCAAGGCAGCAACCCTCTCATATAGGAACTATAAAACGAAGTCAACACCCTTCAGGCTGCTGCCAACATCATCACTACCCCCACTAGGGGACGACAGAAACTCAAGCTTAGTGCCCCTATCACCTACGACGGCACCCCTGGACAACTCAAGTCATTCCTGATCTAAGTCAAGAACTACCAAAACTTCCACTATAGAGACTTCACCAGTCAAACTGAGAAAGTCGTCTATACCGCCACTTACCTACGAGGATAAGCCTTTAAATAGTTTAAACCTATCTAGGAAGAATTCCTCAAGTATGAAACCCTGGACGAGTGCTCTACTGAGACCTAAGACATCTACAGCAGTTTTCAGGGATTCAAAGATGCCCTACGATCTCTCTTCCAGGACCCTAATAAAAAGCGATAAGCTGAAAGAGATCTCATATAACTGCAACAGACTAAGTCAACCAAAGAGTACGCCGCTATATTCAGACAGCTTAGTATTCAGCTTGACCTCACTGAGGAAACCAAGATCTTCATGTTCTATCAGGGACTTAAAGACGAAGTTAAGGATGAAATCGTTAAGATCGATCGCCCCGAAGACTTCCTTCAGTATGCCGACCTTGCAATCAAGATCGACAACAGGCTATTCGAACAACGCAAAGAAAAGGGCGAAAAACGACAAGGACCTAACATAGGACGCAAGTACCAGTGGCAACCCCAGCATAAGTTTAACAACCAGCGGAACGACAACAGACCCTGCAGCAACTGGAACAACAATCAACAAAGCACTGCTTACGGACAACACAGCAGACCTATAGATCTCAGCATGATGACTAAACCTAACGACAGGAAGCCTTGGAACCCTAAGTGCTACAACTGCAACAAGCAAGGCTATATCGCCAAAGACTGCAGACAACCTAAGAAACTTCCCTAGAAACCAGTAGCTAAACGACCTCGATAAGTCAACACGATTGCAAAAGCCTCATATATATCCTAATCTTAGACCAGATGCTATAACGATAACTGCTGAATCTACCTCAAAGACAAAGAAATATCAGGACACTACCTAAGGGACAGCAACCCTGGACGATCCAGATATAACATAAGTGCCCCAGATACTCGCCCTAGAACCCTAGCAATAATGCATTCCAGCAACAGCAGAGTCGCCAGAAAGCCAGTTAAACAACTTAACGAGATGCTATAAATCCAGCGACTAGAACTAATCACCTCATATGAAGATACCTAACAAATGCGTCTACGCCAATAAGAATCAGAGGAAGAACCAGAATATCAGCATGATCCTCTGACAGAACAACAACTTCTCAGTATGACCAGCAACTGGACTTTTAGAGAAGGCGAAAGTTCACCCTATGACTCAGACGAACCTCGCGATGTTGCCTAACAACGTGCTCAGACAGAGATCACCTATAGGTTCACCCCTAGTGTGGACGACTCTAGCTCTGAAGAAGAACCAGACGACCAGGAAGACAGAATTAAGCAACTCCTGAAGTACTAGGAAATCAACATACTTCAAGATAAGCAATAACGCCACTTTTACAGCACCTCAGCAACCTAATAAGACTGGGATTACACCCCTCAGCTACGCACAGAAGACCATCCCGCACTAAGAAGCAACCACTAACTTCACTAAACCCTCTTCTAGTCTCAGTGTTTCTACGATAAATGCAAAGAATATATAGGAGAAAAGCATAACTACTAATTCTACCCCAGAAGACATAACGATAAGCCTATCCGCGAGATTTACTCAATATCCGCTATGATCGGATGGACTATAGTACTATTTGAAGACCACCTTGCAGTCTTCAGACCTAGCCCTCAGTTCCCTATAAGATGCTAATATGACCACAACATAAAGTAGGACGAATGCTAGTAAGATGAGTGCTAAGTATACTACTAAGAAAAAGCATGTATATAGAGAGTCATAAAGAATAGACTAAGACCCCCACAGATTAAGATCCGCAAGAACAGCCTCATGAAGGCATAACGAGAAGGAAAGCAAATTACCTACCTAGGACACTCAGGGCAGTCAAAAAACTAGACTTACCTACTAATAAAGAACCACGACAGGCAACAAGGAAAAGGTTTATCCACCAAATGTCATAAGGATATAAGAATAATATAGAACTCGAAGTCACTATCAACAAACAAACAACACTCGCGCTGATTAACAGCGGAGCTGAAGCTAATTACATCGCCCCTCGAGCCATCAATAGGCTAGAAGTATAATAGGGAGGAAAAGAGCGACCCTATCAGTTACACACAGCAGAAGGAGAAGAATTCAAGTACGAAGGAGGTACCATCTACAATGAGACTGCGCCCCTCGAGATGAGCTACCTGAATCGAAAAGAAAGAATCTAATTCAACATTGCCGATCTAGGAACATACGACATAGTGCTAGGATTACCCTGGCTACGAACAAGTAACCCACGGATAGATTGGAGCAAAGGCCAACTCCATTAGGACCACGACAACTCAGTCCCTAAGCAGCCCTGTCAAAACCAGGCCTCAAACGAGCTGATACAGCAAGAAACAGCAAAACGATATATCTGCTACCTCAAGGCAAAAGAAGCCACGTCACAACCATTAATAACGACGGATCTCAAACAAAAGAATGATCTACTTCTGTCTATCCCAGAAGAATACAGAGTTTACGAGAAACTCTTTGCAGCCGAATTAGAAACCAGACTGCCCGAACACACCAGCTTCGACCACGAAATACCCCTCAAAAAAGGGAAGGAACCATGCTTCAACAAAATCTACAGACTCAACCAGACAGAGATAGAAGCCCTAGACTAATACCTTGAAAAAAACCTCAAGAAGGGATATATCAGACCCTCAACGTCACCAGCAGGAAGCCTAATCCTGTTTGTACCTAAAAAGAACAGAAAATTACGATTATATGTTGATTACTATATGCTTAACGAGATGACAATTAAAAACTAATACCTATTACCCCTTATCAACAAAATGAGACGACTCCTCTATAGAGCTAACTGGTTTACAGCTCTCAACCTCAAAGGAGCCTACAACCTGATCAGAATAAAGCAAGGTGAAGAATAGAAGACCGCCTTCAGGACACGAAAAGGATATTTCGAATACCTCGTTATGCCCTTCAGCCTTACTAACGCTCCTGCGACTTTTCAGAACATAATCAACTAAGTCCTACGCAAGTATGTTGATATTTATGTAGTAGTCTATCTTAACGACATTCTCATCTTCTCACTAACACTTGAAAAACATAAAGAAGATATGCACCATGTCCTATAAACCCTCTAAGAAGCTAAGCTGTTGGTCGAGCCTGAGAAAAGCAAATTCCACACACAAAAAGTGGAATACCTCAGATTTACTATCACCCCCAGCAAAGTCTGCATATCAAAAAACAAAGTCAAAGCCATCAAGGAATAGCTGGTACCTAACAACCTTAAGGAAGTCTAAGGATTCCTAGGTTTTATTAACTTCTACCGCAAATTTATCAAAGACTATAGTAAGATCAACGCAGCCCTTACAAACCTCAGCCGCAAAGACACACCCTTTATATAGGAAGAACCACAACAAACAGCGTTCCAGAAGATCAAGGACCTCATCGCTAGTGAACCCATCTTGGTCATCCCAGATCCGACAAAGCAGTTTGAAGTAGAACCTAACGCATCCGACTATGCGATCGGAGCGCAACTATCTTAACGAGACTCAGAAGGACGACTACATCTGTGCGCCTTCTTCTCTCGCAAGCTCCACAGACCCAAACTCAACTATCAGATCCACGATAAGGAACTCATGGCAATTATTGAAGCCTTTAAGGAATAGAGACCTGAGCTCTCAGGAACCACCCACGAAGTACTTATGTATTCAGATCATAAGAACCTTTCACACTTCACAACTTCGAAAGTGTTGAATAAAAGACAGATTAGATAGTTAGAATTCTTATCAGAATTCAACTTCCAAATCATCTACTGCAAAGGATCAGATAATAGCAGAGCTGACGCTCTTAGCTGAAGGCTGGACTATAACGTCCTGGTACCTGAAGAAACCCAGGTGATTCTCAAAGGAAACAACAACGGAGACCTCATGCTAGCAACCAAACTCTTGATGATAGCTGGGCGGTCTAATACTAGCCTGACTAGCGAACTAGACGACGAAGCTATCATGGAATTTCATGCTCGCCCTGCACATAGTCACTAAGGTATCACGAAAACCTAGAAATAACTACGATAATAATATGGAGAAAAGGTCACTAGAGAACGTGTGGCAAAAGCGATTAAGGATTATAAGGTCTGCCTCAAAAGCAAACCCGCTAGATATCAACCTTATGGTATGCTACAACCTTTGCCTATGCTGCAAACCGCCTAGCAATCTATATCCCTCGACTTTATCGTCAAACTACTGAAGTCACGAGAGCCCCTTACAGGAGTACACTTTGACAGCGTTCTCATTATCGTGGACCGACTCACGAAGTATGCCTACTTCATCCTATACAAGGAAGCAAGCAATACTGAAGAATACGCCTATATATTCCTCAAGTATATCATCTCTAACCACAGAACACCTAAGGAAATTATGTCAGACAGAGATAAGATCTTCATATTGAATTTCTAGAAATCAATTATATCACACCTCAGTATTAAGCAGTTAATATCCACTGCGTTCCACCTGCAGACCGACGGACAAACAGAACGAATCAACTAAATCCTCAAAACCTACCTCCACGCCTATATTAACTACAACTAAGACAATTAGGTTATAATGCTACTAATAGCCTAATTCGCCTATAACAGCATAATTAGAGAAAGCACCAAGGAATCCCCCTTCTACCTCAACTATAGATTCAAACCAACCGCCTATAGAGAACCCTGAGCAGGCCTAGCCGCAGTAAAAGCCGTCGCCTCAGTACGACAGATCAAGGATATCCAGAAAAATGCACGACAGGAACTCAAATTCGTACGACAAAGAATGACTAAGTTTAGCAACAAACAAAGGATTGAGGGACTAACCTTAAAAGAGGGAGATAGCACCTACCTCATAAAGCAAAACATCAAAACAAAACGACCAAGCGACAAACTTAACTATAAAAAACTTAAACCCTTCAAAATCTCATAAGTAATCTCACCAGTCAATTATGAACTCAAACTCCTAGGAACTATGAAGTGTCACCTAGTATTTCATATCTCACTACTTAAACCAGCCCTATGAGGTTCACAAACAGACAACCTCATCATCGTGGAAGACAATAAACCAGAGTATAAAGTAGAACGAATCATAGACCACCTCAAGGAGCCAGAAGGGTATTGATACCTCATCAAATAGAAAGGATATAGATATAAAGATAATATATAGGAACCAGCTAAAAACATCACCAACGCAGCAGAAGAACTTATAATCTACTGGCAACAACACTAAGAATGAGAAGTCACACTAGCACCTGTTATACTAGTCCAGAAGAACGCTAGATATAAGCGAATCAAGCACCTATATCGCTTCACTAAACCACCCACTAAAGCAGATCGACTGCGACAAGGAAAACTATTTATTCGCCTAGGAACACCAGAAACCAACTAAGAACTGCTTCCTGAGGACACCCCTAGAGAACCCTGTTCTGTAATAATGGGAACAGAGTCAAGTAACCCAAACTCAGCCAACAAGGAAGGAGATAAAGCCACATCGGGACAAACCATATCCTAATCTCCAACAAAATCCATAGGAAGATGGTTAGAACCAGCAGAAGAAGGACGCGCCTCCTCCCACCAACGCTGCTCCGCCTCTGCCTCCTCCCGTTCCACCTGCTCCAGCTCCTCCACACTATTGATACCACGACGCACCGCACGTATTATCTTCTCAAACCATATCTTCTTCTGTTTGCGAAGACGCTTAACCTTAGCGTCTAGAGCATAACGTTCCTCCTCAGCCTGTTCCAAGGCA